CTGCGAGCGCACGGCCCTCCCGCCGTGTTATTTTTGTTGTTGCCCTCCCGCGCCCCTTCCGTCGCGGCTGCGGGCACACGGCCCTCCCGCCGTGTTCTCTGAATGTTGCCCCCCCCCATGCTCCTTGCTGCGCGGCACGGGGCTGTTTTGCTTGTTGCCTTCCCGCGCCCCTTCCGTCGCGGCTGTGGGCACACGACCGTCTCGCCGTGTTCTCTGAATGTTGCCCCCCCACGCCCCTTCCGTCGCGGCTTTGGGCACACGGCCTTTCGGCCGGTTTTCTGTGTCTCCACCCTTCCACGCTGCTGCAATGGTGCCATCTTCACCATCTCCTGCTGCTGCTGTTGTGTGTGGATGGAGCGCGCGCAGTGACTCGCGCGGCTATGATGTATTTCCTCCGCCTCTTCTTACAAGGCCTCACGTGCTACATCCAGCTCCTCGTCATCGCTCGCCACCACGATCGCCAGGACTGCCTACAGGGTCTGCACGATACTGACCGATGCCCCTGCTTGTTGCACCGATATTACCTACTGCCTCACCCCACCGTGTCTTTCTTCCCATGGCACCACGATTAGCTTCACCTGGTTGCTTTGATGGCGCATCGACGGCGTCGTGGGGATGCATGCTGCCCCAGCTCTCTAGACGAAAGCACTTTCCCGCGGTCAACAGGCGCACTTGGTGTGCCGTCTGCGGCACCCCCTCCAGCGCCGCACAGCTCTTCTCGGCGTGATGAGTACGTTGCTCTGACTCTTCGGCAAGTGCCTCGCGCGGCGGCTGCATCTCTACCAGCGTTGCCTATGTTGTAGAGGTATTCGGTGTTCTGGAATCTACCAAACCCACCGTTAGCAGGGACCTGAAATGCCCACATCGGTTCGCCTTCCGCAACCGGCCGACTGCTGATGATCTCTTCTGCAGCCGTGTAGCCTATGCAAGCGCCCACCGCAGCAGGCTGCTCTTGGGATGATGACCCCCTGACATCCCCGCTGCCCGGTCCTATGCCCAGGTCCGCTCCAGCAGGGATCCTTGGCAATACCGGGCTGGTTCCCGGTCTGGTGCTCCTTCCCCCGTGCTTTGCGGGCGGCGTGATTCCGTCGTTGTGCGGCCCCTCTTCCAGCAGGCCGCGGGCAGACGTAGCACCCGTAACGACAGCGCCCACCGTGGTGCCGCCGGACTCCCCCTCCTTCTCTAACTTTCCGAGGGTGGCTCGGAGTAGCCCTGCCAGCTGCTGTACCTCGTCCGTCAGGCCTGAACCTTTGCTCTCCAGGTTGTCAACCCTGCCCTGCGTACTAGTGGTGACGTCGGCAGCCTCTGCTGCAACATCGGCGCCACTCATCTCCAGCACGGGTTCCCTCGAGGGATACACTCTAGAGTGTTAGTATACCCTTGTAAGTGTGTTGAAGATGATGGTATCACTTGTATTTAGGACAGCAGACACGATCAGGACGCGGCGGGAGAGAGAGAGTGCCACGACACAGCAAGCACTCCCGCAGGGTCGAGCCCCGTGGATCAACCATGAAACCAACCCAGGGGACTATCAATTCCTATCTGCGTAGCCAATTCCTACAGTCCCGTTGGAATATTCATCCGCTCATGCACACACGAACAAGTGAGCCGCATGTATGTATTATGTGGCCTTGCGTTGATGTGCGCATGGTATCCTTGTCTGTCTGCCCTGTTCCGTACCCACAAGAAATTCTCATTAGTCTATACTTCAGAGGTACCCGGTGCGAAGAAAAGAGTGTTGTTACTGCTGCTGGTTGAACCCCAGCTACAGCACGATAATCAGTTGTGATGCACCCCAATCAGTTGGGATCGATTCGTTGACTGCGAGCGAAAGACAAAAAAAAAATGAAGCCATACATGGCGTTTAAAATATATAATAGCGTTCTCAGTGATGTTACAACGCCCACGGATCCGTGAAAGTAGCAACCCCCAAAACACGGATCTAGCGTTCTGAGTGATTGAGACTACAATGTAATTAAGGAAAAAATAAATACACACACAGAAAGATTACCCATTCGAGATATACCCACAGTCGAACGGGATGGGGACAAGGGAAAGACCGCGTTTTAGACTAACCCTGCGTTAATAATACCCCTTAGTCACCGGGAGGACATGAGGACATGGTTGGTTGTTGCTCTATCAAGGGCGGCATCGATGGTATCCATCCACAGCCGGACAAATTTTCCTTTGCGCACAGCAAGCAGCCCTTCTCGCACTATCTATCGTGAGGCTGAAGAACAAGTAAACCACGGGCAAATGTTGAATGCGCGGGCATACTGCTGCTGTAGATCAGAATCATCCACGACCACAGTTTTTTGTTGTCGCGCGGGGACTTCCGAAATAAGCACTACATAAATTGGTTGTCCAACAACCACGTCAAACAGACATCACACGTTGCCGTACATGCACACGGAGTTCCCGGGTGTACAGACAGGCATCACACGTTGCCGTACACTTGTATACGGCGTGCTTGCCGCTTCGCCGCAATTGGAACCATTTATTGTGTGGTAAATTAGGGTTTGTGTAAATAGCAAGAGGGCCGTGGGGTCTGTAAATTGCTACATACAAGTGTGTGCGTGTTTGAGAGATGACGCTGCCGGCATTTGTGCCTTGCCCGACTCCTGACAGAGCAGTGCGCTCGGTAAGATGTAGCAGAAGTTATCTACGACTGGCTGCTGCTGACTGTGAGTGCTGCCATACTACTACTGTGGGAATCCGGTGTATTTCTCCGTGACTGTTCGAGGTGGGAAACAAACGTCAGTGTCAGTGCAGTCCCGCTGAAAACGTTAACGTGTGCCAACCCAAACCCAGTCTGTAGGTCACAACAGAAGGCCTACGGTGGGTGTTTCGCGAATACCCCCACCCACCTGTTTGCGGTATTTCGTGTCTGCTTGGCGAAGGAATAGCGCGAACGAACGAGAGAGTAGGAATGAATGTGGCAGGAGTACTTCTGTATTCAGAGCCGCTCGCCGGGGGGGATGTCACGCATTGTAACGGTACACTCTTGTATTTGGGTGCAATTTCTTAATTTATTTATATTTCGACCCATCTTCCTCGTTTGAGCGACAGGTTCACGGGCTCTACCATGATCTATCTGTCGAGGTTTGGTGTTGGCCGGCGATGTCGAGTTTATCAAGAGCCAGAGCGTCCAAAACCCTGGCTCCTAGGCATCCTCAACCTTACAGGAGCAGGGCGCCCGTGAAAACGATGAGCGCCGGACGAAAAGTGCATTTGCAAGAAAAAACAAACTAGTCCGCGTAAATCGACCGAGGCGCGCCGACGGGAAAAAACGATATGAAATGAAAATGAGCAGTACCTGAAATGATCGGAAACATCAACGAACCACGTGGATCAACACAATTTTCGCAACAACTCTAGGAGCTCAACACAAACAAATGATGGCACGCCCCTAAGGTTTGGATAAATTGTCCCCCTGCACGAAGAGCCCCCCCCCCCCCCCCGGCATCAATCGTCGAAAAAAAAACAACAACATCTCCCTGGGCTAACTCCCGCTGTAACCCGGGGGGGGGGGGGGGGGGGTGTACTCGTAGTCGTGCATGCCGTAGTCGTTAGACCATTGACCTTGCATCCCCACAAAGCCGGGACGGAGCACGCCGGGTTCTCACCGGACCAGGCTCTCACATCACCAAGCGCGAAGCGCCGTGAGGTATTCGGCGAGTCGCATGAAGGTTGCGCTGCATCCTGCTAACGGTGTTCGGCATCTTGTGCTTACTTCCTTGCCTTCGGATGACAGCAGCTGCGTATGACTTGATTTATTTTCTGGCGCTTTCACTTCCAGAGACAGTTGTAAGTTCTGTGTAAATGCCTCGAGGGTGTTTGACCAATTTAACACAACGTGCGATTATCCCCTTTGCGCGGAGTGAGGGTTCTCGACCCCGCACAACATAATCTACTAGACCACCATTCATTATGGTAACCGCCAAAAAAAAACCAAAGGTAAAAAACCCCCGGCAACCTGGTTAAGCCGAGTTCACGAAGTGAATTGGCTTGTTTACAACGTCCTTGCCGAGCGACGAAAACCCAATCCCGATGGCAAACACCGGGGGGGGTGGGGGCTCTTTATTCCGTCCGAAAGGTTTTAGCACGCGCGCCACCGTTATATGCTCTTACCAATCGTATTGACATGGTTGGTTGTTGGGAGGGAGGCATGACACTCAATTCGTTTTGGATGCTCCGCCAGTCTTTCTTTTGGACGTCTTTCCACGCGAAACTTGCGGCGTGTTGAGGAAGTAGGGCCTGCCCAGGTATGGCGTACCTTTTGTGTTGCCTTTTGCGTCAGATCCTCGTTCCGGCAAAGAACCACGGGAGAAAGCATTGACTGTGGTACTGCTGTAGGATGCTGATCCAATGTAGCTCGAGACACTCCTTGATTGATTTGGTTGCCTTGATATCTTTGATAACCTTGATGGCCTTGATAACCTTGATATAGCCTTATTGCGGTGCCGGCGACGCGACAGCCACATCCAAGCACGGCAACCTCTATGTCCATGAGTCTCGCCACAGAAGTAGGGAGACTCTCAGGGCGTAGTATGGGGGGCTTGGTTTGGATCACACTTTTCGACACGGCCCCTCGTCAAACGCGGGCATTGATAGCGCCCATTCGCGAACTGGACATTGGACATCGCTATCACGATGTGCACTCTATCCCTGCTCCTGATCAAAATTTCCGTTAGCTGCTTGGACAAAAATTTCGAACTTTTCCAATGGAGGTGGGCCTGCTGGTCCCCTTACCGTCCAGGAAGTGCAACGGGAGCGGCCAGCTTCAGGCCTCGCAAGCTCACAACAGCAGTGGCACTAGCCTCTAGCACCAGACAGGCAGGTACCACACGCAGGCAGCGGCCGAGTGTCCGCCGGTTCTGTGCGTTGCACGTGTCTGTACGGCCCATCATTGTGGTGACATCAAACCCAACCCATGGCGTTTATTGAACCGTTTCTTACAGGGGGGACACAGGGGCGAGCGTGGAGGACAATCAACCATCATGTTCAAGATGCGGATGGTGGTGGCCCTGCTCACAACGCTGCTCCTCGACGTCGCCAAAGGTGAGTAAGAGAGAGACAGAGAAAGAGAATGCTGGAAAAATGACGGTGTGTTTCATCTTTGACTGCCAGCGCCTCGTAAAAGAAGATGTCTCCTAAGATCAGTTTGAATGTCTCGACTTGGCCCCCTCCCCTCCCCCCGACCGTATACAGCTTGTGTGCTCGTTAGAAGTCGGATGGGGCAGGCGTATGTCTCCGATTCTCCGATGATGTGCCATGTTCTACGACTGTCGTGCTTGCCGCGCGCTTGCCGTGCAAACTACTACAGGCAGCGCCATCGTACAATATCCTTCACACGGCGTTTCTGCAAAGATCCGCGTGGTCTTACCAGTACCGCTCGATTGATCAGTTATCCCACGCGGGGGGGATATATATCGAGTGTCAACATCGTAACCCCCCCCCACATTTCGTGATACGCAACACTAGCCCGAAGGGGTTTGTAAGGCTCACGTAATTTTCCAACCGTGAAAGCAGCAACAACCGTCGCACTTGACCTGGTGCTCCGGCATGCAGGACATTTGGTGATTAGCTACGGATACGGACACACGCACACACTCACACTGCCCTAAGCCGAGAGCACACACTCACACGTACGTCTGATATGATAGTGCGCCACGTAACCTGCATCGATGTGGTGGTGCTATAGTGTGTATTGTAACAAACTGGCGGACCTCCTCGAGGGTTGCGTGGAACGTTCTTCAAGTTCTTCAAGTTCTCCTACACGACAACATGCAGCTGTCAAAAGAAGCGTAGACTTTAATCTTTGATATTTAGATATACTCTGTGCAGGACGAACGAAACCCTCCAGCTTAGAGGACCACACGATGTCCTCTACCCTGCCGTGGATGGTTCAAAACCAACAAACATTTGCTGTGATCCACCGCTCCCTCTTGGACCCTCCGTCCCCAACCTTGAACAGGAGACTGCGGCAACGGTGTCGCTGGTATCGTGAGCGGTGGCTCATGTTGTGCTGAGTCCTGCGGCACTTGCGGAGGAGTTGGGTGCGGCGGTCGTGAGGGCGGAGCAATGTCGTGTTGCACGTCAGCCATCGAGGGCGCAGGCGTCTTGTGCGATACCACGTCCGCGGGTCCGTGCCGGATCTCGACTGCCGGTGATGACTATGGTTGATGATTGTATGCACCATACATGCAGCCCTTCTGGTCTGTTTCCGCAATAATCGTTGGGGTCAACACCGGCTATTCGTCTACATCACTATTGTGTCGCTGCTGCTGCTGCTGCTGCTGCTGCTGCTGCTGTTGCGAGCCAAACCATTTCATTGAAAAGCACGGCGTTTGTAAAAGAATGTTCACCAACATACGTTTCGCACACGTCGTGCGTCTGCCGTTTCGCCATGTGCTCTGCCGTCAACCGCCAGATGTCGTTCCAGCAACAATGACAACACCGCAGTCCACATCGCCAACGCCTGTTCCAACTATCCCGGACTCGTGTACTGAAGCCAATTCCCCTTTCCGATGGAACCCGGACACCGGCCTCAATGGACGTCTGTGTGAGTGCATGCCATGCGCCTTGAGGCCTTTCCGTGCTCCGCTCGAGTCGAAGTTTGACTTATCGAAGACTATCTCGGGTAGACTATAGGGTATCCACTATGGACTGACGCGGAATTTTGACCTTTGATGATTGACGCCAACATAAAGTAACGGTTGAGGGTTTTGACAGGAAAAAATTCGCACCGCGTGTGAGCAAAAAAAGCCACCGGGACAGATTTAACTTGGCGTCCGCCAATCAGCTGTCTCCATTTAACAGGAAGGTTTGTTCGTCGAAGCAGATAGAATAAACTGGTGTTTATTTTGTAACAGTCGAATTAGAATTTGGCTTCATTTTCTACCGGAAACCCAGGGTCACGGTGTTTGGAATTATTAGTCTATAGTTGGGGGTGTCATTCCGTGATCGAGTCCACGCAGGGGCTGTAGCAAAGTCGGGTAACGTGTGACAGCTACAGAGCGCGTGAAGCAACGGAAGGACAGCAGCAGCCGCCTAACGCAGTAGCGGCGGCAGTTTAGAAAAGGGCGGGACGGGACACGGCGCAAGCATTGGGGAAGTGACCAGCACGCGACTCTCCATATAAAGGTGTGTACTCGTGTCCAACATCCATCGTGTCGGCCGTGTTCCTATTCGCGTCCCGCTACTCTTGTGACCTCACCGCTGCGTGCATTTAGCACGAGGGGGGAGGGTGCAGTAAGATAAGCGGCGGCAAGCCAACGCAGTCTCGCTCGCCGCGCCGCTCAGATAGGTCCCTTCCCAAACATGGGATGCGGTTCATCCCAACCGAGACGTACTCTCGCTGAAGAAAAAAAATGCGGTTCGTCCCAACCAGACGTACTCTCTCTGAAGAAAAAATTCAACGGCAAAAAGAAAGAGCGGGGCCTGTTGTATGGTCGCACGCTGACTTGTCGCGGTTGATAGCAGCCATTGTACTGCACGGGGTGGAGGAACCCTGCGGCATCGGACATAACCAATCGACCCGCGGCAGTAGGGCATGATGCTGTCACGATTATGCACATGAGGCAGGTGCCTTGTTTTCTGTTTCCCCCGGCTTACTAGGGACTACTTGCCGGTACAATCTTGTCTGTGCCGCGCACAGAGGGGCATATAGCTGAAGGAATCGACGATAATATGCCCACTCACGTAAGCAATCGTCTCCACGGATGGTATTGACAAGTCCCCACTGATGGTATCGACAAGTCCCATGGCATACAAAGCGGCCGCATACGTAATCGGAAAGTGCATTCAACAGCATTCACGGGAACGGATAAAAGCAAAAACACATGCATGCGAGAGAAAGACTCAAAGAAAAAGACTGAAAAACAATGAAGACGAGAAAAAAAAAACGAGACAGCGAACTACGTGCTGTATGCATAAGGAAAAAGAAGATGAGAAAAAAATAGGGGGGGGAGGTGGATGTGACACGCGAGGTTCGAACTCGCGAGGAACGTCAGGTAGCGGTCCATGTGAGTGCATCACGGTCTCGAGGGGCATCACGTCAAATTTATTGCCGCCGTGACACAAACCTTCTATAAGAATACGTCACGTCCATCGACGATTAAGCGACCAAAAACGCCCGGACAGCAATTGATGCATGCCAAAAACTCGTCAACCTGCCGTAGGATTGTCTATGCGGAAGTGATCTCAATGAAAATAAAAAAAACAAGGACACGCACCAGCACGGGACGCGCCAATAGTGGAAGCACTCGTCCGTGCTGTTGGCGAGTGGAAGTTAACCGATCTCAACGCAACGAAACACGAAGTCATACATGTATCAGCACGGGATGCGCCAATGAGTGGAAGCACCCGCGCTGTTGGCGAGTAGAGTTAACCGAATTCAACGCAGCGGTAGAAAAATACCACAAATCATGCATCAGTACGGGACGCGCCAATGAGTGGAAGCACCCGTGCTGCATATGTGATGTCAGCCTCAGCACGGGACGCGCCAATGAGTGGAAGCACTCGTGCGGTTGGTGAGTAGAGTTAACCGATCTCAAAAAGAAAGAACAAAACGCCGTACATGTATCAGCACGGGACGCGCCAATGAGTGGAAGCACCCGCGCTGTTGGCGAGTAGAGTTAACCGAATTCAACGCAGCGGTAGAAAAATACCACAAATCATGCATCAGTACGGGACGCGCCAATGAGTGGAAGCACCCGTGCTGCATATGTGATGTCAGCCTCAGCACGGGACGCGCCAATGAGTGGAAGCACTCGTGCTGTTGGCGAGTAGAGTTAACCGATCTCAAAAAGAAAGAACAAAACGCCGTACATGTATCAGCACGGGACGCGCCAATGAGTGGAAGCACCCGCGCTGTTGGCGAGTAGAGTTAACCGAATTCAACGCAGCGGTAGGAAATACCACAAATCATGCATCAGTACGGGACGCGCCAATGAGTGGAAGCACCCGTGCTGCATATGTGTTGTCAGCCTCAGCACGGGACGCGTGCTGTATTTTGTTTTCTTTCGAATTGCTTCATTATTTCTTCGGTTTCTAGGCTACGTGTTGGGGAGAGAGACGCACGAAACGCTCATCGTCTCTCCGGCCGCGTTAGCTGCAAAGGCCGGCGTCAACTCTTACAAATCCATCTCTCTCCCCACAAATACTAGCCGGGGGACTACGACTGCAAACGCAGGAGTCCCAAAACTGACCAAGTCCTCAAATGGTACACACCATTCTACAACACCTGACTAGATACCGAATATTCCCGAACTTATGCCCCCACCTTCGAAAGAAAAGGGATGGGAGGGCGGGATTTTCTAAACTGCCGCCGCTACTGCGTTAGGCGGCTGCTGCTGTCCTTCCGTTGCTTCACGCGCTCTGTAGCTGTCACACGTTACCCGACTTTGCTACAGCCCCTGCGTGGACTCGATCACGGAATGACACCCCCAACTATAGACTAATAATTCCAAACACCGTGACCCTGGGTTTCCGGTAGAAAATGAAGCCAAATTCTAATTCGACTGTTACAAAATAAACACCAGTTTATTCTATCTGCTTCGACGAACAAACCTTCCTTTTATTTTGTTTTCTTTCGAATTGCTTCATTATTTCTTCGGTTTCTAGGCTACGTGTTGGGGAGAGAGACGCACGAAACGCTCATCGTCTCTCCGGCCGCGTTAGCTGCAAAGGCCGGCGTCAACTCTTACAAATCCATCTCTCTCCCCACAAATACTAGCCGGGGGACTACGACTGCAAACGCAGGAGTCCCAAAACTGACCAAGTCCTCAAATGGTACACACCATTCTACAACACCCACATCGAGGTCAGTTTCTGGACGACTACCGAATAAGTCAACTATCCGTTCCCCCAGACGGTCCCCTCCCCCGGCTGTCTCGATACGATCCTACTGCCGTCTGTAAGTTTCCGTGACACTCGCCGCGAATCCTCTACATTGTTTCGCGCGTACGGCTTGTATGCATCCGACCTCCACTTCCCTTCTCTCTGAATCACTCGTTCTGCGATGTCTCCGCCCGATGCAAGAGCCGTCGCGCCTCCAATTCGCAACGAGTGCAACGCGTACTCCTGGGGGTTACGCCCCGACCTCGCTACCACTTCTCTGAGTGCACGGAGGGCAGCAGTATACCTCACTACTCTCACTGCTCTTCCACTACGGTACGAAGCCAACGGTGCGGAGTCAGGGAACGTCGCATGACACGATAACAGCTCCACCACAAGAGCCACCGCGCCACCGCGTGCTCTCACACCTGACTGCGGTCCGGTGACTTCGTCTCGCGTACGAACCCGTATGTTTCCTTTCTGCTCTTGATCGGCCTTGTGCCCTCTAAACCTCATTTCGACACGGTCTGCTCTACGATAGTGACTAAAGACTAATTGCGTCTCGCCAGCAAACAATGCTACGTCCGCCCTCGTAAGACAGTGTGCCTCATGCACCCTGCCCGCATCATTCGCGAACACCTCATCAGACCGTGTGATAAAGAGATAGGACAAGCACAGACACAGCCACATCACTCTGCCCCCTTCCCCCCAGTTCTGGCTTGCGCTTTCCCCGTCCAGCAGCATACGCCAAGACACAGGCAGGCGCACACGGCGTACCGTCCCCACAGCCACGTGGTTCCTCGCAATCCCCCTTAGCGCACATTTCAACATCGGAGACGACAAGTCTAGCTCGACAGAAGCTTCCAGCCTATGAAAATGTTGTACAGCCGTGAGTTTTCCGGATATTGTACTCGCTAGATTACCCTCAGACTCGAAACACCAGGCTACGAAGTCTATCAACTCCCACACATGAAGGTCCCCGGCACGTTGCCCTAGGAACTTGGGCTTCTCCGTCAGCCTGCGAAACGTGCACCAAGAGTTGAATTGAAGCCTGACGTGTAAGTCCTTCTAGACGAAGACGCAACTGAGTGCTCGACGAGCTGCATGCCAAGACGTCGGTAACAAAGTCCCGTCCTGCCTGTCCCAGGTCCTGAACCTGCTGATAGCCCTGGAGCCAACCTCGTGTAGACCGGCGTGCTGCCGTTCGATTTAGCCGCAGGTGCGCTGCCATCCGAGGTAGGCCCCCCCGCTACGCGGGAGAGCCCGCACCCCTATTTGTCTTTCCCGTGGGTGAAGAAGCCAGCGGCCTTGGGTCTCGCGCCGCCCTCGCCAGCGGCGCGCGCCTCTCCTCCGCGCCCTCCCCCGTTGCCGTGGCCAACGCCGCGCGCGCCGGTTGCCGGAGTTTCGGACGCTCCGCGCCTAGCGTGGGAAGGGTTCTGGGCGTGGATGTGTGGGCAGTTACGATCATGGCAACCGGACGACGAGTTGAAGGCGAAGCAGTAACCACGAGCGTGTCGAGCGATGCCGCCACTTTCTCTGTCACCAGGACGCCTTTGCGAAGCAAGGATTGCCACTCCATCTGCGACAGTTTTGAAACTGCCGGGGGCCGCCCCAGGATGAGCCACGCTTTTACCCGGCGGAGGTCCCCCCACATCCGCGCTCTATCCTTTGCCGTAGCCTTAGCCGCCTCGGCGCTGGGTGTAGCGGGGGCCCGAGAGGCCGATGGTGGGGCGGTTGTGCCCACAAGTTGCACCCCCCCCCGGAAGGCCAGGTCCTGCTGCTTGGGTGGCGATCAGGTCGTCGATCGTTGCTTGAAGCTGCTGGCGATCACCGGCAGCCTCATCGCGCTTCCGCTGCAGCTCCTCCCTCAGGCCGTCCACCAGCCCGCGGAGAGAAGCGAGCTCAGTCTCATCAGCGGGGGGGTCGCCGCGGGTGCCTGTCCCTGGCGCTCGCGAGGAGGATACCGCTCGACGCCTCGCGGGAGTACGTGATCCGCTGCGCGTCGAGGGGCGAGCCGTCGAGCTCGCCACCGATCGCGCGGTAGACCTCTCGTGCGTGGTGTCGAAGGTGTCGCCGCCCGACCTCGCCCTGCTTGCCCAGCCGCTGCCCTGCCGCTCCGCGTGGAGGCCCGTGTCGGCATCTGGTCGCGGTTGGAGTCGTATAAGCAGCGGACCGGCGGCAGGCGGCGGGCGAGCGTCAGGGCGGCGTTGCGGGAACACTTCTTTTCCTCTTCATCGTGGGCGTAGTCGATCGCGCGCCTGGATCTGCAGTTAGAATGGTCTACAAATCCTATCTTCGGGCGAAACTATCTGACGTGGGTTTTCGTCGGGCCCAGAACGACGCGTTGTTATATCGCGAGCTCGCGTTAGTTCATTCTCGACGCCTGTGGATTGAATGGAGTGATTATTGCTGCTGACGCTACGGTCACCGGACGTCGACCAATCCCGAATATTTCTCTCTTTGGAACACTAGCGATGGTTTCTCTTTTTTTTTTTTTATATATATATTTTCTTGGGATTCGGTGAACCCCGGTTCGCCATCGGCACGGGTGCTTCCACTCATTGGCGCGTCCCGTGCTGATACGTGTTTTTTTTTTTTTTTCGATGCGTTGGATACGGTGAACTCCACTTGCCAACAGCGCGGGTGCTTCCACTCATTGGCGCGTCCCTCGCTGAAACTAACAACACATATGCAGCACGGGTGCTTCCACTCATTGGCGCGACCCGCACTGATGATACTTGTACGCAGCGCGGGTGCTTCCACTCATTGGCGCGTCCCTTGCTGAAACTGACAACACATATGAGCACGGGTGCTTCCACTCATTGGCGCGTCCCGTACTGATACGTGTATGACTTCGTTTTCGATGCGTGGAGATCGGTTAATTCTACTCGCCCAACAGCACGGGTGCGCCCACTCATTGGCGCGTCCCGTACTGATACGTGTACGGCGTTTTTGTTCTTTCTTTTTGAGATCGGTTAACTCTACTCGCCAACAGCACTCATTGGCGCGTCCCTTGCTGAAACTGACAACACATATGCAGCACGGGTGCTTCCACTCATTGGCGCGTCCCGTACTGATACGTGTACGACTTCGTTTTCGATGCGTTGAATTCGGTTAACTCTACTCGCCAACAGCACGGGTGCGTCCACTCATTGGCGCGTCCCGTGCTAATACGTGTACGGCGTTTTGTTCTTTCTTTTTGAGATCGGTTAACTCTACTCGCCAACAGCACGAGTGCTTCCACTCGTTGGCGCGTCCCGTGCTGAGGCTGACAACACATATACAGCACGGGTGCTTCCACTCATTGGCGCGTCCCGTACTGATGCATGATTTGTGGTATTTCCTACCGCTGCGTTGAATTCGGTTAACTCTACTCGCCAACAGCGCGGGTGCTTCCACTCATTGGTGCGTCCCGTGCTGATACGTGTACGGCGTTTTGTTCTTTCTTTTTGAGATCGGTTAACTCTACTCGCCAACAGCACTGTCTCCATTTAACTTGGCGCTTACTTAGCGTCTTGTCTATATTTGAGTAATTTTGGCAATTACGCCGCTTTTTCTCCTGCGCGCACCGCATTCGAACCAACCAGTTCAGAGACCGACACATGACACACATCAGGCGGGGGCCTGGGCGCTGCAACTGACGCATACCAGACGCTAACAGCAGCAGAGACCACTCACTCTGGTTTCTGTGTGCACGAAGTTTCGCAATGTCAATCCACACTGGGTGTCGATGACAAGTACGCAGCAGCACAGTAGTAGGATCCATGCATACTTCTATATCATCTGCACGCCCGTCCTTTCGCCAGAGCACTTCAAGTAACGTGATGATGATGCTCTGGCAGCTCCGCGTTGTTTTTTTTCGCTCTCTTGACTTCATCTATCGGTAGGTTCTTTATTGGCGTGAACACCCCACCCAAAGCAATCTCGCCATCATCAATTATCCATCCATCCCGACGCGTCCGTTTGTTGACAACTCGGATGGCAGAATATCTGCACGGTGATTCCTTTGCTGCCCCAGTGACGGAACCTCTGCGCTGGTGTCTCCTTTCCTTCATCGATTCATTGAGTATGTGCAACATTTTGAAAGCGTAATTAAACTCATAAAAGCTCTGTCCCGGTACATTAAAAATTTGCCTGCCCGTTGGCACGTGGGAGGGGAAAAAAAAATGGTGGTGTAGAGTTGACGCGTTAACGCCGGTCATGTTCACGACCCTGGGTTGGTTCGGTCTGCCACCCAGGGTCGACATACTGAAGCGAAGACTTACACTCCCAGGCTACCAGGAGACTAGGTGTACCCCTCCGCCTCATCCCGCCGACCTTCCCTCTTCTGCCGCGGCGACTTCCCAGGCGACAAACTGCCGTTGCTGATGAGTGAGGCAGCTGCTCGCTGTACTGCTGTGTACTGTGTACCGATGTCACTGCGGCAGCAGAGCACCGAACCCCGTGAGGGGGCGGGCGAAATGCACCTACTGACTGGCCAAGTTCGTGTACCCTCCCTTAATCCTCTATATGTGCTCCCTTCGAGGGCGGGACTCGCCTGATTACCGCCTATGCCCCTTTTTGCTGCTGAAAGCCCGTGCGCAATCGCGATGGGTCATCTACCGAACGCGCGCGCCGAACACGCGAGTCCGGCCACTGGGCCGCCGTGAGAACTGCCGAGACGTACGTGTGTGTGCAAGACCGCTAGGAGCAATCAGTAGGCATGGCCAATGTGTTCGCTACTGACCGCGCTCCTTTCGTGATTTGGTGATGGTAACAGAGCATAGAGCAAGCGTGTGCGAGCCACAGTCTGGCGATATTTGAAGTGTCAATCTCTTCGCGCCGGTTTAAGTTTTGACACTTTTCCCCAAAAATGTCGCCGTCAGAGTTTGCCTCCAAACTCGTCACGTCAAAACTTCCTGAAATGTCAATCTTTCACGTCATTTCAACAACACGTGGATTCCCTCTACTATGCCGGTATGATTTCTTTCCCTGGTGTCTGGAGCGGCGTCGCTCCGCGGGAGAGATGACCGAGTTGCGTGCAGCCTCACTAGTTAACCCATTGAAGAACTCGATACCTTCTTGTCATACTCCGGTGTATGGAATGTCAGCACGTTCAGCGTTTTGACAGTGTAGTCTTCCGTATGGGGATTGCGGTTTTGGAGGCATCGGACCAGAAGGACCAGAAGGCATGCATGGCATTCCGAGAGTGCGTGCAGCGGCTGTACAGTAGTGCGATCAATCCCTCCAACGTATCTCGCCTTGGTTCAGGGAACGTCCCTTGTTGGGCCCAATCTGTTGATGGACTACATATAATACTCATGTTTTGTACTGCGTATTGAAGCACTCGCTCTTCAGCCATCTAGTCTAGACACCGTTTTGCGAGGCCGTTGCCGCTGCGATTAATCGTTTGCTTACTCTGCGTTTTGCCGCGACTTTCCTACCGACTACGTAGTTTCACACCAACTTTACCCACTCTGCGGAATATTCTGTAGGCGTATGTAAATGCTGAGGCTGCCTGTGTGAACTCTATTCATGTTAGACCACGAGATACACATAATGTAGAACGACATAAATGACTGGGGAGCTCTCCTTCAGAAATGGTGCGGTCTCTGCAACGTCTGTCGAGGGCCATCGATTCTCTCTTTTCCGTATTCCTCCCCACATACATATCACGAGGGGAAATTTGTAGCCAACCTCTTGTGGCCGGCACACAAGTCCAAGTCTAGTGGGGTCGGTGAGGGTAAGTAGACGTGGAGGACTCCAGGGTACCCGATGAGGTTACACATGTACTACTTCTGCTTTTTGCTCTCGACTCCGGCCTTACCGCCGTGGGTTCCGCAGCACATGCAAAAGATGTTCACGCGTTGGCCTCCCGACCGCCCCAATGTTTCGGACAGACGCCCGTTTCCTCGTAATACAAGTATTGTTTTACTAATGATGCTGTGATACTTATAATAGATGCGGAGGGCGACGGCGGGGGCTGCTTCACCCTGTCAGACCTGTATGCCTGGCAAGGGTTTCACAACAACGGCAACTCCAAGGGCCCAGTATTCGTCCTGGACAGCAACGACAGGGTCAACAAAACGGCCACCACCACCACGGGAAAGTGGCTCCTCACGGCGGACCTGTTCGTCACCGGCGGAGGTATAGAACGGCCCATAGCATATAGACCACCCTAGATTTGAATGTTCAGGCTTGGCTTCTATGCTGAAGCACGTGTTGGCTGTTGCGTCTTTCTGTCCGCCATGCGTAGACAAATTGGTTCTTCGTTTTCGATGGGTGTCCGTCCGCGCGACTCTTTGACTACGTATGTAGCTGAGCAAAATGAAGAGTCGTACGCGGCGAAATTCTCCGTGTGTTTGAGGGTATGTAGATCACGTGAGGAGGCGGGTGAACGGCCGGATTTTTCTCGACGCACTCTTTCCGAAAGTGATGAATCGTGTATCATTCTAAGTAGTGTTGACTTCAAGAGTCTAACCGCTCCTTCTCGTACTTGATACAGGTGAAAATTGTCTACAGTAGGAACAGCTGAGGGGAGGACATGTCTATCTATGTTCTGAGACAGTTGGTGAAAGACGTTAGTTCCAGTGCACTGCGATTGGCGCATCTTCACGCCTCTCAAATGCATGTTGGCGTCTAGGGATGAATATCGGCGTTTTTGTTTTGAAGCGGTGCACCGCGAACGGGATCAGCGAGATAAATCATTCTGATAGTCGCACAGTGATTCCAGCCAGCTTCTTGTACTTTGCGATACGGGACAATATCGGAGTTAAACCAGCTGACTGAACAAAGGGAAGGGTGCAGGTGACAGCAAGATGCGTACGCGCCGTTTGGCATGTTGCACAACTTTCTGTCCCCGCAAGAGTGAGCAAGAGTGAGTGACACTCTATCGTTCGTTCGCCGTGTTGTGTGCTGTTGCAGCTACGTTATACTGCCGTGGTATGGGCGTCGGGGGGAACTGTGCCGAACTCCGCATCCGGTCAACGAGTGGAAGCGACTTCTTCGAGGTGATCCACGAGAAACAGAACCATTAAGGAAAAACACAAGACGGCGTCGACTATAGTAATAATTTTTGCTACAGTATTTTACTAAAAAATCGTCGTGTTGGCGTTGCCCTCAGGGTGGGCGGACGCTTTGGCATCCACCGTAAGAGTACCACAACTTCAAG